AACACTTGCATAGCATATTCTTGAACATGTTCCAAACTTCATCAAAAGATTCTAATTCACTTTGGCAAAAGATAGATATATCATGCTTCAATTTTGCTATCTTGGCCGGTGGAAAGAATTTTGTACAGAACTTTTGGGCTAGATCATTCCACATGCTAATACTGGCGATGAGTTGAAAATCTAACTACTCAGGTGTTTCATCATGCAAAGACTGAATCTAATAGCATCATCTGAGATACCATAATATCGAAAATGTTGACACATCTCTAAAAATTAAGAGATGTGTATGAGGATTTTCTTTATCTTTGCCATAAAATTGATGCCCATTATAGAATAGATGTATAATGTTGGTCTTTGGCTCGAAATTAGGCTGCCCAAACGGAAGGTAGACAATTTTGGATTGACTCTGAATGATCTCTGGTATCATGAAATCCACAACAAACATATTCCCCTCATCAACAGCTTCCTCTTCATTGGTCTAAACTAATTGATTGTTTTGCTGGTTAGCCATTTGTACTTGCTATTTGTGGTCTTTTGTTGTGTTGCTCTTGCTTCCCTTTGTCTACGATGAAAAGTGCATTCGATTTCTGGATAATTTGGAAGCAATTTACCATCAAACGACATTCGTATACATGATCTAAAAGGTAGACAATAGTAGCACTCAGATAACTAAAATGGAATGAAATAAATAAATAATAAAAAATGTTCGAATTAGTTTCAAGGTAAATAAAATCAAACTAAACTCAACCCCAGCAACGACACCAAACATTTGTTCACGAAAATATATTTCAAATTAAAAATACTGTTAGTGTATAATTCGTTAACAAATAATAAAGTGGAATTTGAGTCCGAATATCGTACCACGGAGATTGATTTAGGTCAATTTTTATTATGACTGAAACCAGATTAATATGATGTGTTTATCATTGAATTATATCTAAATTAACCTACTTAAGCAATTACGAGTGAATTAACTAAATTAAATGCAAATTATGTTGAGCGCAAGTTAATGTGTTTTAATGAATGACAAACATACTAGGATCCCGAATTCTCATGCAATAATTCGTTTTAACCCTAGTTTTACACGTTGACAACATGATTGAATTTGACCAATCAACGTTCCTATTTTATTTAACTATCTCTTTTGAGTAATGTTAAACCTACTTTTATATATGGCTCAACTATATTTCTATGATGGATGTGAACATATGAAAGTGCATTAATTTTTGTGTACATTTAACGATTCACATAAGGTATATCGGTATATTTATATCCCCTATCAGACCCTCTGCCCATTTATATATGTCGAATATATTTTCCTTCTTTCGAATGCATAAAATAAACCACCAAATACACACAACTATTGTGTACAATAATTGTGGATAAAAGAAAATCATATAAATCATTCAATATTTAAAAATGTATAATGTCAACGTATTACATGATTCATCGTTCTCCTAACACAAAGAAAACTAGCCTAGCATGTTATGAAGAAGAAAACAAAAGAAATATTGAAAAATCGACATCACCCAAATAATTCTTGAATTGATTCTTTGTGTTCTTGGATTTGATCTTCGTGTTCTTGGCATCTCCTCTGCTCCGAAAGCTCTTCAAAATATGTTGTAATGCATGGCCCCTTCAATTCTCTCACAAAAACTATGAATTTTTCTCATTTGATGATAATAATTGATAAATATTGGAGTATGAGATGTATATGAGAGGTCTCTCATATGTATTCTATAATTACGTGCAAATTGGTTTCCAAAAGAGTTCCAATCGAATAAGAAAAGAGTTCCAATTCAAAATGAGTTGGAAATCTAACTCAAGGGGCTACAATGTTTATAGAAATAGAATATTTCCAATTCAGACGTTTACTATGCCAAAATGGGTCTAAATCTTCGGCTAAAAATCTGGAATATAACTTGTGCAATTGGAAAATGATTGTGATAATATTCCATTCCTTTTTGAAGTGGAAAGATAACCTAAAGGGCTACAACTTTGATGGAAATATAAATTTCTCAATTCGGACGTTTACGATACCAAAAATGGGTCTCAATTTTCGACTAAAAATCTGGAATATAACTTGTGCAATTGGAAATTGATTTTGATAATATTTTGATCATATTTTATTCCTTTTTGAGTTCTAATTTCGTCCAATTGTCTCCTATAAGCCTTCAAAGTATCGTCTTGTGGTCTGAATCAACTATTGAATAATTACAATTTGGTCCTTGAACTTAGGGCTTTACTCTATTTTAGTCCTTTTTCCTCAATTCCACCATGTTCATCAATGTTATCCTACAAAATATAATTTATATAGAATTAAGCCATATTCTAATATATTTGCCAACAATTATCCATATTTGTGGCCTAAATACGTGGGTAAAGCGCACTTATCAGCGATACGAAGAAAGCAATCACAACACAAGAATACAAAAAATTAACTTGGAAAACACCCCAGGCAAAGGAGAAGAATTCAATTAGGGTGAAGTAGCTGACACGACCTTTGCAGTGATCAAGGAAAAGTTGTGCACTACTCCCGTTTTTGCCTTGCCCAGTTTTAAGAAATTACTTGAGGTAGAATGTGATGCCAGTGGAATTGGGGTTGGAGCAGTTCTTTCCCAAGAGAAGAAACCGTGGCATCCTTCAGCGAAAAACTCAGTGATGCACGGTGAAAATGGAGCACCTATGATCAGGAATTTTACGCCATTATTTGTGCTCTAAAACATTGGGAGCATTATTTGATTCAGCGGGAATTCATATTATATGCTGATCATCAGGCGTTGAAGTACCTAAACAGTCAGAGGAGTTTAAATAATATGCATACCAGATGGTCAACCTACTTGCAGAAATTTCCTTTCGTTCTGAAGAATAAGTCTGGGGTTCTGAATAAAGTAGTCGATGCATTAAGTCGACGTGCAAGTTTGCTGGTGACTATGTAACAAACAAGAGGTTGTTGGGTTCGAGTTTCTAAAAGAATTGTATACTGATGATGAAGACTTAGCCAAGGTGTGGGAGAAATGTGTCCTGCAGCAAACAGAGGGGGAGTTCCATATTGTTGATGGCTACCTGTTTGATGGTAATCAGCTGTGTGTTCCTCGGAGTTCCTTGAGGGAGAAACTGATACGAGAACTACATGGAGGGTTTGAGTGGACACTTGGGATGTGATAAAACTATCAGTGGGGTAGCCAAGAGGTATTACTGGCCTCAGCTGAAACGCGACGTGGAAAATCTGGTCCGTAAGTGTTATGTCTGTCAGACTTCAAAGGGTCAAGCTCAGAATACTGTTTATACATGCCTCTACCTGTTCCAAATGCAATATGGGAAGATTTATAGATGGACTTTGTATTGGGGCTGCCTCGCACTCAGCATGGAGTAGATTCTATATTTGTCGTAGTTCCCAGGTATTCCAAAATGGGGCATTTTATCCCATGCCGGAAAACATATGATGCTTTTCATATAGTCCAGTTATTATTTCTTGAAGTGGTTCGTTTGCATGGAGTTCCCCAGTCCATCACTTCTGACAGGGACTCGAAATTCTTTAGTCATTTTTGGGTTACACTGTGGCGGTGGATGAATACTACTCTGAAATTCAGTAGCACAGCACATCCACAGACTGATGGACAGACTGAAAATTTGAATAGGACACTAGGGAATTTAATAAGTAGCATTTGTGGTGATAAACCAAAACAGTGGGATGTGGCACTGGCGAAAGCCGAGTTCCCGTATAATAATGCGGTTCACATTGCTACGGGTAGATCCCCCTTCTCTTTGGTGTATTTGAAGCCTCCTAAACATGCATTGGACTTGGCTTGCCTTCTTAAGGTTGCTGGTTCCAATGTGGCTGCTGAAAATATGGTTGAATAGACTCGTAATGTTCAGGCAGAAGTGAAGGCTAGGTTGGAGGGGAAGAATGCAAAATATAAGGCTGCTGAGGATGTCAAGAGGTGTGAGAAATTGTTTGCTGAAGGTGATCAGGTGATGGTATTTCTACGCAAGGAGCGATTTCCTCTTGGTTCCTATAACAAGTTGAAGCCTAGAAAATATGGTCCCTACAAGGTAATCAAGAAGATAATAACAATGCCTACGTGGTCGACTTGCCTGCTGATATNATTTAATTCTTAATAAGGGAATCACGGTCTTTTTAACACAAAACTTTACAGTTTAAGTGTTCATTAACTGATGTAGGACAACTAGCTTTGGAGTTTGAAGAAGTGCTGGACAGGAAATTGACGAAGAAAGATCGCGCCAGGGGCAGTTTGGTCATTTGTCGCGACGGTGTAGGAATGGGCTGAAATTTAGCAGGTTGAATAGAAACAGCCTGAAAAATTGGACTCGGGACAAAGTTCCGAGACCTTGGGATTTTAGCCAAATTCCTTCGTTTAGGCCTTCAAATAATTAATTTGCATATTTCCCGTTTTAAATTATCGCTATTTTTGGAATGTTTTAATATTCTATGTTTTTAGGGTTTCTTGTAACGCCTATTTAAAGACTTTTGAACGTTTTTCGGCTCATTATTGAATGATATAAAATTTCATTTCTTTGGTGGATTCCAAATTTGGTTCTTTAGATTTACGTTTGTAAATCTTCGCCTTCCGTTCTGCGTCAGAATCAACTATTGAATATTTACATTTTGATCCTCAAACTTTGGAAATCACCATTTTTTTGCCGAAATTTTCGTGTCTTTCTTCCAATTTCACATCAATTCAGTGAGTTTCACCCAACAAACAATAAATACATGAGATTAGGCCATAATTAATCATAAAAACTCTTGTCTATATTTAAATGTCTAGATACAGCATCAAAATTTAATGATCAACCAAAAGAAACAAAATTAACTGGTCCCCTGTGAATATTATTATCCAACTACTCCATGTTAAAAACTTATGACAAAGAAGCTGCCCTTTACTGATCAGAATTCCCTATAAATAGGCCAACTTACACTACTGCAAAGTGCACCTAAATCTTAATTTCTAGCAATGGCTGCCCAAAACAACTTACTGATGATTACTAGCGCCGATGAATCTCCTGTCAATGGCCAGGCAGGAAATATCACCCCAAGCAAGATCACGCGTGCTGATTTTCCCCCTGATTTTGCATTTGGCGCTGCGACTTCAGCTTATCAGGTATATGTGCCACGTACATATTTATTTTCTAAGTGCCCGAGTATTTGATTTCTAATATGATGAACTCATAATATTTATTATACTTTTGTGAGACTCATGCTTTTGCATAATTTGTTTTCTGGTTCGTATAAGTATGCAGATTGAAGGTGCATGGAATGCAGGAAGTAAAGGCATGAGTAATTGGGATGTTTTCACACAGACTCAACCTGGTCTCTTCCCTTTTTTCAGTCTTCTCGTGTGTGTATATATAATATAAAGACACAAAATCACTTATATCTGTGCATTACATGTCAATTTATTGGATTGGCAGGTGGTATTTCCGACAATAGTAATGGCTGTGCTGGTATTGATCACTACAATATGTTCCGGGTATACTTCAGTAATTTTTATTATGGTGTAACGGTTGGCACATTGGATTAAATTAGATGAGAAAAAAATAAAAAGGTGAAAACTAAATTCTATTATCTATTGCTCTGGAAAAGTTTAATGAGTTAAACTTTTTTTCATTGTATTGTCCACTAAAACCTATTGTCACTTCGTACTAAACATGGACACAAAGGTTATAAAGGAAATGAAGTACAATTCTTCTAATTTCCCTTCATTTTGCTTATTTTAAATGAAAAATTTTCCGCTTGTTAATTTCCGTATCAAGATTTTCCATATTCCATTCACTCATAAGACAACACAAGACAATATTTTTTCTACTCTAGAACATTTCCGTGCATGTTGTATCGATCATATTTAGCAATTTGCAGGAAGATGTGGCTTTGATGAAGAAATTGGGTTTGAATTCATACAGATTTTCAATTGCATGGTCAAGAATCTTGCCAGGCACGTTAGTTTGAACTTCGAAAAATAGAATTTGTGCATCATATTGATGTTCTATTAAATGTGAATCAAAGTATTATTTTAATTTGGGTTCTATCTTGGTGTATTAGGAGGGAGACTATGTACTGGCGTATGTAAAGAAGGAATTCAATTCTATAACGATCTCATCGATGCACTCTTAGCAGCAGGTTAGAGTCAATTACATAATTCATGTATTTATTGTTTCTTTAACGACTTTTATTTGCATAATTCACAATTGGAATTTAGTTCCAATATTTGATGTATATGCTTTTCTGCAATCATTCTCATCTTACATAAAAATTTACTGAAGATATTATTATTCATTTTATTTTTTTGTGTAGGAATTGAACCATATGCAACTCTCTTTCATTGGGATATTCCCCAATGTTTGGAAGAAGAGTATGGTGGCTTCCTATGTGACAACGTTGTGTGAGTAACTCAATCTTGCATCACATGGCACATTTACTATTAAAATATTTAAGAAATTTACTGAGTAAATCCAAAGTAAGCAAATCTATTATTTTCCCCAACATTAGTGAAGAGAAAAGAGGACAATTTTAGCTAAAGAAAAAATGGGTTGTAGTTTTATTAAAACAGTGGACTATCTTTTACAAAGATTAAACTAGCAGCTTAATAATTTTTACCATATTTTTTGAAATATTGTGCCATTTTGTGTATCCATATTATAGGAAGGATTTTTGTGAATTTGCTGAGACTTGCTTCTGGGAATTTGGTGATCGAGTGAAGTATTGGATCACACTGAATGAGCCATGGTCCTATAGTGTTTGTGGATATGTGCTTGGTACTTTCCCTCCTAATCGTGGTAAAGCTCCAACTACTACAGGAGAGGCTAAACTGCATTCTATTCTTCATAGAGGTTGCTTTAGATCTCAAATTGTTCGCAAGAATGGAGATCCCGGCAGAGAACCGTATATTGTTGCACACAATTTGATCATTTCTCATGCTTATGTGGTGGATATATATAGGAGAAAATATCAGGTTTCGTCATAAGTAATTTCAAGCATATATACGTGTTTGTATAATACTTTTAAATATATAGTTTACACAAAAAGATACTTTTGTACGTACAGGAAAGTCAAGGAGGTAAGATAGGGATGACAAATAACATTCAATGGTATGAGCCTCTTACTGATTCTAAAGAAGATCAAGATGCTGCTGATAGGGCAATGGATTTTATGCTTGGATGGTAACTCAATATCTTGACAACAATCATCCAAATTACTTTCTTCTTAATTCATTATTGCACTTTTATTTTATGATTTTCATGCTGATTGTATTCACTGACTTTCATCCAAAAGTCTAAATAATTAGGAGTGGTGACATATTTTCCTATTAAATTCAGTATTCAACAAACACGAACTAAAATAATTCTAATTTTCCTTTTTGTATTTTTTTTTTCTTTTGAAGGTTCGTAGAACCGATAGTAAGTGGAGACTATCCAGAAAGTATGATAACAAATGTCGGTAAACGTCTTCCCAAATTTTCAGAAAAAGAGGAAAAGCTAGTGAAAGGATCCTATGACTTTTTAGGCATAAACTATTACACGGCTTCTTATGCTTCCAATGATACAAAAACGCCGACAACTGAAAGTTACCTTACAGATTCACACTTTGTGCCTTCAAGTAAGTATTAAGACTTTTTATTGGTATAGTTGTGAAGTTTATCATCACAAGTTAACTAGAGAAAATATGGAACATGATACTAATTATTCCCCGTTCTTTTTTAGATGAACGTAAAAAGGTGCTAATTGGTCCACAGGTATGCCTTTAACTCTTGGCTTCCCTCGAAAAGAAAATAGATTGTATTATACTCTAACGACTTATGGGAGTACAACTTCAACAACTTATAGAACTGCATTGTCGTGTCTAATAGAATAGCCAAGAGGAATCAAATACTTCCTATGGCTTAATTTATTGCTTATTATGCTTATAAAAAATATATATAAAGTAAATAGAATCTTCTTTTGTTCAGGCTGGTTCTGATTGGTTGCACATAGTTCCATGGGGAATTCAAAAGCTGATGGAGTTTATGAAGGAAAAATACAGCAACCCAGTCATTTATATTACAGAGAATGGTAAATAGTCGTGTTATGTCAATTCTAATTATATAAAAAGACAAATATTGTAATGCTGACTAAATTATTTTGGTGAAAATAATTTATCCACGATTCATGTAGGGGTGGACGAAGTGAACGATAAGACCCTAACTTGTACACAGGCTCTCTCTGATGAGATGAGGATTCAGTATCACCATGATCATCTCTGCTACCTTAAGAAAGCAATGGAGTAATAAACTAACTTAATTTGTTGTCCAAATTAATTAATTATGAATGTATTTACTACATTTTGTAAACTCAATTCATGCTCATGATTTTTTTTCTTTTTCCTTTCCAGCGGCCCAGATGGAAAAGGAAATGGAGTAAATGTGAAGGGCTACTTCATATGGTCTTTGTTTGACAATTTTGAATGGGCCTCAGGATTTAGTGTCAGATTTGGTATTATTTATGTACACTATGGTAATGGCCGTTTTACAAGGTTGCCAAAACACTCAGCTGTATGGTGGAGGAATTTCCTCAGCAAGAAGGCTATAATTTCATCGAAGAAAGAAGCTGAAAAACCTGAAGATCGTCGTAAAAGGCTAAGAAGCGACTAATTAAGATTATAAAAATTAGTGCTTCCTTAATGTTATGTTGAATAATGCATTGTTGCAGCTGTTGCCTTCAGTTTGTTTCCCTTTTTTTTTTTTTTTTCCCTTTTTGGTGGGTTGAGAAAGCCATATTTCAACTTGCACTTGTTGTGTTCAAATAAAAAGAGTTGGCCAGTGAGGTTTCAAGCCAAACTCTAGTGTGTTAATTGTTTTGATTTGTGAAATAAAAGATTTGGGACTGCCGTGTTCCAGTTCTATGTAGTATATCTATCCATTCTTCCAGTTCTCTTTCATTTTATGAAAAATGTGTTATATATCTAATGGCTCTAAAAGAGACAGCAACGAAATTGTAAAACAAATAAAATAAATTATAGATTTCCCTCCTAATATGTAATTCTTGACTGGAAAATCCTTTGGATATTAACTTTCACATTAATCATCGTAATCACTGTCAATGTTTCCGTATATGATTTGAGCAGCTTAAATGTGGTGGTGGAATTTCAGCCTTACAAATAGAAAATCAGAGTTGAATGGCTTGCCCTAGGTGCGGTGAGTCAGGCC